AAAAAAAAAAAAAAACGTTATATTTCCTCCATACTGATGTCCATCATATTGACTTTCCATGTACACCAAACTGAACTCGTCAAACATGAGGGGGGGATTTCAAAGACCAATTATGGTGGTTTTTGTGTTTACTACAAGAATCAAACAAAGGACCAATTCACAAAGGAGAAGGCCAGGCAATGTGCCGTGTTTTCGTCCGCCCCAAAAACTTTCCACACAATGGCTTGATCGTATGAAATGTGCCGGCCCATTGTCGACACGCAGATGCCACCGGGCAAGTGAGCAAAGCCCTGCACACGTAAATAAAAAACATAAGACTTGATTGGAGAAAATTATATCTCGGTGCATGAACCTCTCACAAATTATACCTCACCTTCATTGGTAACATGCTTGTGGTATGAATTCGAATTTATTCAAATTTTGTAGCATATAGACCAATGTCGACAGAAATATCATGAATGTGAGGCGTAACATGTTGTCTCTGAATTACCCTCGTTTTGAAAATACTAGTTCAATAATTTATAAATTTAAAATTGAATTAATGGGAGTACCTGCTGCATGATCTTGGCCAACTCCGAAAACAATGCCTTTCGTCCAGAATCATCAAATATCTTATCCAAAGTGATGTCTTGCAGTGCAACAAGCGTCGTCTCAAGCATATCAAGCCCAGCCTGGTTTGCAAACGAAAATACGGGCACAGCCTGTGCAAACAAAAAAAGATTAAGACCCAACAAAATAGTGTAATGGCCTTTTATTGATACTTATGAAGTTTTTATAACTAGGAAGCAGAAGCACTACCTTCAACGAGCAGCATAAGATGGCATCTTGGTGGTGCCAGAGTGATTTTAGTAATCCTTCACCACTTGTGGACTCAGCCCCTAGCAGATCAGCACCCGAATGATAGCTGCATGTAATTAGATTGTTAATCAGAGAAATAAATGGCAGAATAAACCAGTAAAAAAAATGATTAGTGGAAATTATAGGGAAAGAAACTTTTAATTATCTTAAGAATTTACCCCCCAAAAATAAATCTCTCTCTCTCTCTCTCTCTCTCTCTCTCTCTCTCTCTCTGTGTGTGTGTGTGTGTGTGGGGTAATTAAGCTAACATTCAATGTAGCAACAAAATGTAAAATTGTCCATTCAAATTGTACCTATAGCTTTGGCAAATCCAATGCGCGAGTGTCAAGGCTTCAGGGGAAGGTGGAGAAACTTTAGGATCGGCTGCAGGGCCCAATCCAGAAGGAGATACAGCCATGGCAACTCTCTGTACAGACGAAATTACACTACGAACATATTGGCGGGCCATGGAGGCCACGTTGTCTTGCAAATTGTTCTCAAACGGGAATTGGAACACAATGGTCAATATCGCGCGCGGGCTGTAAGACGATGATGATGCTGCATTGTTTTTGGCACTATTGCTAGTTGTGGGGCCCACTTCAAGGCTTGATGCCAAATCTAGTGTTTTGTGTGAAGCCGATGGGTCCTGTAACTCACCCTGCCAAAAGGCCATAAGGTTAGCTAAATAATATGTCGTCTAGCCTAAAGAACACTTATTATGTCACTTAATTGAAATGAAGGGAGAAATAAAAATCAGGATGCAACAAAGCTAACCAACTCAACTGGTTTTGAATCGAGGGGAATAACGCGGAAACCAGAAGGAAGCAAATGAGCATCATCCGGAAACATCTCATCAATTGGCGCAAAAACAAGCTCAGAGCACTCCCCCACTGCATTATCATCAATACCTCGGCACATCTGCATACAACGAGTCAAATCACAAGTTGAGCAAAATTTTAATTAAAAGCCCGAAAAGCCTATCAAGGATGAACCTTTCATAAGTAACAAAATAAAGGACCTGCAGAAGATGAATGTCCCTAGACATAAAAGCTTCCTCGTGGCTGACTGAATGTCCTTCCAACCGGATAACTTCAAGCATCTAATGCAAGGGATTTCAAAATTATAAGATCAGAAATCAAACTATAATTATCGCTATCAATTATTTATTTATACTAAAATCATCATCATTAGGGATATTATTGGTAATTAGGCTTCAGAGCACTTAAAAACAATATTTATCATTATTACAACCAAAAAAAAAAAAGAAAAAACAAACCTCTTCGTGTTCGATTGTGTGACCCAATGGCATGATAATTTGACTACCCGTAAATCGAGTAGGCCTCATTCCTGGATACATGTACGAGTTCTTCAAAGATGCAGCTGCATAAGCATCCACGTTAAAGTCTGCCCACTCTGAACGGTGCTCCCTTAAAAACCGAACAAGCACAGCTGCAGGCACATTCTGGGCATAATGAATAGAAAAAAGAAAATATTAGGACATGCTGGTAAATGAAGAAGCATTTTATCAGCAGTTGGAATATTTTCAAACAAATTTTGAGGATTCAATCTTGGTACAAGTACAAAAGATGCATGCAAATGCAATGTGGTTATCATACTTAAGAGGAGGCAATCAACAATGGTTTATCACAAGATCGCCTTTATTCATCGAAAAATCAAATAATAATAAAAAGTTAATTGAGAATGAATGAGACACATAATAGATCAAAACCTGAAGGAGCATGGATGCTTTAGCACAGAGCACGCCTCCAAACATAGAAAGATTAACCGAACCACCCGCCATGTGTTTAACCGAATTAACAGCAACTATAACATCCTCTCCGCCATCATCACAGTTCAGCAATGACCACCCATCGTCATGGAACCCATTAAGAGCATCATTAAAGCCTCTGCATTAGAAAATATTATATTACCTAAAAAATGAAAAAAAAAAAAAAAAGTAAACTTTAAGCAATAATGTCATGTGAGCATCAAATTTTACCTGGTCAACCTCTGGCTGAAAGTACGTAGGACGGCAGGTTGCCTGCCCAGACTATATACAACTTCGCCACTTGTCTCCTGGGCTATCTGCCTTATATATTTAAGTGCCTGTAGAAAATAAACAATAATTAGTCCTAATATTGCCATGGAAAAGTACATAAATATGAGGGAAAATTACAACACCATGTTGGAGATTAAGCTTAGTTTCAAAATCTAAGCTTAAAAAAAAAAAAAAAAAAA